CTAGCCATCTCTGCAATAATCGTCCTTTCTTGTCCTCACTAATGTCAGTGCCGTTCTGTATGTAGGACCCTGAAGCTTAGAAGACGCTTACAGTATTTACTTTGCCTTGCAGTTAAATGTGCACTTGTGTCCAAGCTCTAATCAACCAGTTCTAAGTTTCGCAGAAATTTTAAAATGTAGGTAGGCTCCAGTCTCTCTCAGTTTTCTTCGTCTTTCTCCGTTTAGATCGTGGTATTTGAGCAGCCTTCTCTTCGCAAGAGGCCAAGATTCAGCCAGCAATGCCTGAGCGTGAGCTGCAAGAAGCCTTGCGAGGTGTAGTTCCCTTCTGGAACCAGCTCCGCCACAGACAACGCACGCGCACCCCTCTTTATGGGAGAAAGGATTCCATTTCCACCTGAAATATTTATTTTGATTTCCCTATTATGGACAACCAAACCTAGTCATAAGTAATTTAAAGATAAATGGAAACACAAATTACCTCAGTAACCACTAAATATAAACAGATAAAAAGACTAAAATGCATATTAAAGGAAGCAAATAAATACCTGTTAAAGGCAGAAACACATGAATTGAGTTAAAAAGCACATCAGTTATATGTTCTTTATAATCCAGGTCCACACATCAAAACAATGCAAGGTTGAAAATGCCCAATTAAATAAAAGCCATAGCATTATAGGAAAAGAATAGGAAGCCATTAATGCCTGAAATTTGTTCGTTGGTGTTTTGCTGTAGTCAGAAATTTAAGAAAAAGTCTGGGTTTGAGAAAAAGGTGGGTATCCTTTTTTCATTTGAGTGAAAACAGGTTAGAATAAATATCAGAGGTAGTGGGGGCCTCCGTGGTACTAGAGTACAACCAGAATCACCCAGAGGGCTTGTCCTGTTACAGGTGGACGGGTCATTCCTCATAGTTTCTGATTCAGCAGCTCTAAGATGAAGAGTGTGACTGCTCTCCTAAAAGAGGACAAGGTGATGTCCACCGTCCTCCAGCTCTGAGATTCCCTGCTGTTCTTCTCAGTGATCACAGGAAATGGAGCCAGAGCTGCTTCAGGGGTTCTGATAGCTGACTACACATTAGAATGACCTGGAAAGCTCCAGGGGCACACTTACACCTGGGCTCGGTCCACACCTACTGAATCAGAATCTGCTTTGATTTTAATTAGCTGTGTAATCCCAGTGAGCAAACAGGCCCAAACCCCTCTGCAGTTCCCCTGACTTTTAAATTAAAATCTAAGGTTTTGTGTAAATGTTTATAATTGGCATGATACTACACATTTCATCTAAAGGAATATACTACTCTCAAGTTTGCATGTCTAGCTGCATGACTAGAGGTAACATTGACCTTTGGAATCCAACAAGCAGCCCAGTGGTAAAGTTGGGCCTAGATGATAAATTCAGATTGTGATCATAGATCTAGGTTTGTATGTAAAACTTTGAAATGTAGAAACACATTTGAGCAGGCACATGCCAGCCAAAAGGTTGATATTGTCCAAATAAAATGATTCTTGAATAGCTTTCACAAGTATTATTTATTGCATTTTGATTTTGCAATAAATACTGATTTATAATGCAGTTGAAATGGAATATTTTGAAGATATAAACCCATGAGGAATTTTTCATCCCAAGGGAGAAGTAAGAATTTACCTTTAGTTAAACCTGCATATTTAAATATTAACAATAAACTAAAATGCTATGCAAAATGACTGGTACATGATCAAGGATGGAATGTACATTTATGTCTCTGAACTTGAGCGCTCAGGGATTTGTGTGTTAATTTTCCATTCATTCTGCTATGAACTTGAGAAATAACACATTTATCCTCATAGTTTTTTAGGTCAGAAAACTGAAATCAGCTTCACTGGCAGATATCAAAAAGGCCGGCAGATCTGTTCCCTCCAGAAGCTTGAGTAGTCATTTTAGTACCTTTTTCAGATTCTTCATCCTCTGTGTGCCTTGACATACAGCCCCTGCAACCAGCTTAAAAGACCGTAGTTCACCAGTTCATTTCAGTAGCCCACGATGCTTTGTTTTTGTTGATTCATTTTGTTTTCTCTTGTAAAAAGCATTTATAATTGTATAAAGGGTTCATCCTGAAGATTCAGGAAAATCATCTCAAGATTCTTAACATCGCTTATGAAATTTACCATATTACAATTAGTTTCCAGTATTTTTAACAGCTTTTCTTACACTAAGATAATTACATAAGACAAGGAATTCAGGCCATTTTTATCATGCATAAATTCAGGATGTAAGAAATGACAATGAAGGACAAATTTAGCTGGTAAAAGCAAGGGAAAATTGAAATACCTCCCACTTTCCTTGCTTTCTATCATCCGTTTTTAGTTACTATAAAAATCTTTCCTCTTGGGGCTGGAGATTTAGCTCAGCGGCATAAGCGCCTGCCTTGCAAGCAGGCAGTCCTGAGTTCAATCCCCAGTACCGATAAAAAGGAAAAAAAAAAAAAAAAATCTTTCCTCTTGGAGTCATACAGATGAGCATTATAGTCATCGTCTTTGCTTCAGTGATACCTCTGTCAGGTGGCTGATGTGACAATGGTTCCCTGGGTTATTCCTCACAAACATGGGGACCACTTTGGTCAGAAACCCTTGTCTGCTCTGGGATCTAATGATGTCCCATAAGAGGGTGAAAACTGACCGTCACATACTAAGTCTGCCCTTCAGAATGTAGGTAGCATGAACATGCAGGGAAATTGATTTGTTGTGCAGACCCCTGAGTATTTCTCCTCCACCTTTCCCCATGCCTGTAGTCACTCAGCTGCCTTACCCACAGATATCCTTAAACCATATCTCCAGAAGGCAGAGGCCAGGCCCAGGCTCCCCACCCAGTGAACTCTCCTTGTTTGCAAAATGTGTTGCCTCAGAGACTGGCATATTTTGCAGTAGGCCAAATGGGTCTGGTTTAGTAACGCACTGAGTTTTCCAAATGCTGAGCGTGGGATCCAAAGAAAATTATAGACTTTACTGAAATACTAAGAAAGAAAGACTGTTTCTTACTGTCCTTATGCACAGCTCCTAAGGTTATTGCTTGTTTTTAATTAACTAAAAGAAATCACAGTAGTTTAGCAGGATCTTCTTGAAGTATCCTTCTACCTTTTTATTTTGGCTGAATTGTAACTTATCCACTTGTTGCAGGCATTTTTCTATTTAAAGATGGATGCTAAAAGTTGCTGGCCAGGCAAGATGGCACGTGCCTGTATTCCCCTGGGAAGCTGAGACAGAAGGAACACTGGAGACCAGGATTCCATGACCTCATGTTGAGACCATGTCTCAATGTAAATAAAAAAAAAAAAAGAATCAGATATAAATAAACAGAAAAAAATCCCTTTAGCAACATGCTATTTAATAACTTGTGCATATTTGATTGTTTTCTTAAAATAAATGTCTGGAGGTAGAATAAGTTGAACAAGATTCTGACTATTTCTAATATCTTGGTAACAGTTTCCAGGTGCTATTCTATTTTGACAAGTCTTGTGGGAGCATTAGCCATTTGTCTGCACTTTCCCATCTGCCATGATTGGGATGCAAAGTGTCCCTGACTGATAAAATGACCAGCTCATTGCTGTTAGTTTGCATTTATCTGAAGGTAATAAATATCTGTCTGGTTACACTGGAGCGGGAAGAACTTCCTGGAAAACAGTCTTTTCTTCACAACCATGCTTTAGCTAACTTGCCAGACTAATGTATGTCCTTGGATTTCCTTTCTAAACATATTCTCTTTGTAACAAATTCAAAATCTGAAAAGAAAAGAATAGGATGTCCTAAAATTAGGAGTCCAGCAATTTGAGGAAGAAGGAAAGTCTGATCAGAAGTGTGCATGCGTAGACCATCAAGTTCTGGCATTCTGTTTCTTGACCCAGGCGGTGATTGTTTTGTTTTGCTCATTTTACAGCTGTCTGTTGAATCGTACACTTACAATTTTTGCAATTATCTGCACACAGTATATTTGACATTCAAGAAGTTTAAATTAAGTTAAAGCACCAGCCCTTTCCCTGTTGGTTAAGCCTGTCAAACAATAAAAACACACAAACCTGACTCCAGTCTTGAGGTTGGCATCCAAGCTCCCGTGTTCTCATCAAAGCTGCTTTTTCTCTACAGAGGAGGAAGGGAAGAAAGAATCTTTCACTCACATAACCATTCCCAGGACTACACAGTAGTCTAGAAAAGAAGGCTGGAGCCAGGCAATACTTCACTCGGAAATATAGATCTTAGATCTTGTGGTTTCTGGGAAGAAAAGATCTGACCTTCAAGTGAGATTAAGCGTGAGCAATTAGTGAAACATAAATGATGCTTAGTAAATATTTGTTGAAATTAAATGTGTAGGTGTGGTGACCTGTCTCCAAAGCTGCCGCTTTTACCTGCATTCTATAATGCCTGCTTTAAAGAGACTATTCTTACGCAATTATCTCACAACATCTAAACAAAGATGTGCTCATTCAAAGAATGAGATGGAATACCAAGTGTGTTACGAAGCCTGGTGCTCTCACTGCCTGGACATCAAATAAACCAGTGTTTGTATCTACAAACAACTGTGAAGCAGAGAGCAGAAGAAAGCAGCAAACCACAGCTGCTGGGGCCTGGCTGCAGCCCCCTGCGAGTTATGTAACAGCCGTTGTGTAACTGTGCATTTAATTCAAAACACATTTATGAAAGAGAAAACAATTAGCCTTACCAAAGAGAAAAGATTTAAAAGAGAAAACGAGAAATGGTGAAAGGGCCCAAAAAGTTCTATCTGGTCTTCAAGAGAGAGGTACAGGGTAGTCTAGGACTTTGGAATGGAACTGCCTTAGAATCTAGAGGGCTGGCCCTAGCCCTGAAATCTGGCCTGCCTTCTGGTTTTCTGTAAATACAATTTTTATTGAAAAACATTTACACTCATTAATTTACCTGCTGTGTACAGTTTCATTTAAACAAAGTACAAAGTAGTTATAACAGAAATCGTCTGGGCCAGAAACCTGAAGATATTTACTATCTGTCTCTTGACAGAAAAGTGCGTGAATTCCTGACGAAGATGAAACCCAGTCAAGCATAAGTGCTGTGAGGGTGAAGATTCCCTGGAAGAACCAAAGCAGCTGACTCCAGAACCTGTCTGGGATTCTTCCTACAGAGCAGGGGCCACGGTGAACAAGAGCGTGGGATTCGAAACCAGCAGGCAGAAAGAACACTACAATTTTGGCCTCGTACCTATTAGATGTGTGATTGTAAGTAAATTACCCTGTGGATACAAAACTAGGAGACCAGTTGAGGAAGGAAAGGAAACTGGGGATCTCATACTTACTTAAAAAACAAAATACTACTCACACTTTTTAGTTTAGCTATGTAAATCTCATATTCAGGGGAGCTGGCAAGAAATTGTTGTTAATTCATTATAATCAGAGCATCCAAAGAATTTTATCTTGTTCCTATTAGAACTTTTGCTAGAACTTCAATACAATAAAGCATTGTACTTAACATGAGAATGGTTCCCTTTAAAATTGTCCTTTTTGAAAGTTCCCAGCTTGAACATCAAGAATTGGAATTTTGAGAGTCCTGTTTATAAAATTCTTGTGTGATTGTCTATAGCACTGATCCATAAATATACACACCTTTCAGAACCACAGGTCCCCTTAGTTTTAACTGAGCTTTCACAGATGACACTGTCACAGGGCTGATTGTGGTGACCCTGTGCTGTATGTCAGTGTACTCTGCATGCCCTGAGAGCCCTGCTGACTTTTCTGTATCCACATAGAAAATACATATAATTTAGGGTTTCGGAAATCACTGTAGACGCACTCACCCAGCACTGAAATACACCTGAATGATTAGGTGTTTAACAAGCTGGCATAAGGTAGCACCTCAGGGGCCCTTGTGCCTCCTCGAGGTCCTGGTTCTCTCGGGATGGACTGATTTGCTGTGAGCCTTGTCTGAGACACCTGCTTGTGGCTCTTTTCCTTCCTATCTTCTACTGAGAACAAGTGTCCCTTTGGACTCTCCATTGTCAGATTTTCTGGTTCCAAGGCTATCAGAGTACAGAAAGTTACACAGTAGCATAAAAAGCCAAAAAAAAAAAAATAAAATAAAATAATAACTGAGCTTAGTGGCCAGAACAGCTGTGCTGCATATTCTTATCAGAGGCTTCAGCTCTGTAAATTAATTCATCTGCAAATAGTGCCCTGTCTCCAGATGCAAGTTTGGTGCTGGAGAGCTGATTTTCTTAAGGACTTAAGTTTAAAGTCAAAGGCTTCCTGCTCTAGGTGTACAAATAAGTAGGGTCCTTTTTTTTCTTTCCTTTTTTTTTTGCTCCCGGTCTGTTCACCCAATCATATCCCAATATGCAAATAAACTTTAGCCAGTGCAGATAAAAAGGAACAAATAAAGCCAAGTGCTGTATCAGAATCAAATTGCTCAGCCTGTCACCTGTGTTCCAGGAGCAGAAACAGAAATGTTGTCCTCAGCAAAGCCAGACTTACCTGTCCCACTGACTGACTTGAAGATTCAGTACACTAAGGTGAGTACAACTTGTAAGTGTTGCGTTGCCTGGGGTTTCCATAAGGTCCCTCTGTTCGAAGTATAAAAAGGTCAAATTAACTTAAAGTTGTGTGAAGAGCCCTTTGCAAATACAAAAATAAAGACTTGTTTAAAATACAGGTCTGGGATTGGTGTCCTCATCAAAGAATTGTTTTTAAAGGCTATGGACAACTTTTAATAACTTTCTTATAATATTTCAAAGTAAAAAAAATATTTCAAAGTGAAAGGAATCTTCTCTGTGAAATATTCTTGTACCAGAATCCAGTGGACTTTAGTAAGCAGTTTTATTAACTGATAAGTGAGGCAGATACTCGTTGGACTACCCTCCTGGAAAAAGTCAGAAGGTTAAAAGTTAGAAATATTTGAGAGAGAGAAAAAGAGAGAGAGAGAGAGAGAGAGAGAGAGAAAGAGAGAGAGAGAGAGAGAATACTCTAATAATATAACTTTTCTATATGGTTCATAAAATGAGTGTTAAATAAGAGGATTTAAATATGACAAATAGATGCAAGCTGTTTTATAAAACTTAAATGGCTTCTATTATTCTGCACATTTGGAGGAAGAAAGCAGGCTTATTTACTACTGCAGCCACATTTGTTGCTATTGCAGCAAATATATAATTGTTAACTGATAAATATTTGGAGAAACAAGGACAGGAGCCAGACATAGGAATCAAAATCCACATTTAGGGAGAACTAAGGCATCGATCCTGCCGGGGTTGTTTTGAAGGTCCCTGTCCCTCTGCCTGCCTCAATTACATGCCTGCTTCCTGTCAGATGGCAGCACTGTGGAGCCAAAAGGAAAAGAAAAAGCAACATATCCATCTATCCAAAATCACTCAAAGCTAGCTTTCTGGTGTGACAAAGAAAAGTAAGGAAAAAACTGTTGTAACTCAGGACGAGCCATTTTGCCTTCTGAATTAACCAATAAATTAACCAAGAATATTCAACCTGCTAACATAACATTCTCACCTATTGTTTGCTTATATGCCACGTGCAGCCCTGTCTGATTATGAAACCCTAAGTTCTATTGCTTTTATTTACATAAGCACAACAAAGTAGGAAGCTGCTTGGTTGATTGATCCTTTTCCTTAAGAAAATTTCCCCAGAGATGAGTATGCTTTTTATGTGGTAGCCTTGCAGCTATGGGATTTATGAAGGTATTATTATGCAATGATTTATTGGACAGAAAATGCTTTTCTAATGAATTTTATCATAAATGGGATGAGGAAATACATAAATGTTTCCAAATAATTTACATTTAAAAAAGTTATGCCCAAAACATCACAAGACTCCAATCTTCTTATAATTTTTTTACCCCAAATTTGCCATTCACAAGAAGTTTCAGTTCAAATTAAGTGTATTTAAGAATGCATTTCATGATGATCAAAGTTGCTGGAATTGCTTTAACTATTCCATTAAAATTATTAGAAGAAATATATTTTTCTATGATACTACTTGGAAAGATATTTTGATAGCCGGAATATCTCCTCATGCTTTATTTAATTTGACTTTGCAAAGGTTTGCAAAGTCTGTACTGTCTTTATATCTATAGGCAGCTCTCATATGAAATGATGTCTCTAATGAATTAAACTTTATTTAGCAGCTATTAACCAAAACTGCAAATAAAAGTACTAGACAAATGAGATGTTCTTTATGATATAATATACAAACATGGAACTAATGATTCCTTAACACAAAAAGGTGCTTTTAAGACTGCAATTTATTTACCTCAAATTCAATGCACAATATCCTTCTAGAAAAAATGACTGAGTGTTCAAAAGCAGACAAGATTGGAAGAACAGGCCCTTGCTGACTGTTGAAATACTTTTTTGGATAAACTACAGAATGCCACTCGGTGAATTTGGTATCTCATGCACCATTTGTATAAATCAGGTCTTTTATTGTTTGACTTTATGGGTTACAACATTTTCACACTTGGGAGGACACCAGTTATGTATGTAATTAAATCTAAATGGGTGAGCTTTTCCAAATGCCTTTGCATTTTCCTCTTTCTGTATCCCATTGATGAATTAAATTGAATTTGTACTTGCAATAAGCTTTGGAAAAATAATGATAATTAACTAAATTTCATGTTTGCAAACCAAGTAAACAATGGTTTTATAGTGACTTGTGAATTACCTTCTCTGATCAGCCCTTAAACTTGTATATTGATTACTTTAATGTCTTTGAATATTATCTCTAGAAGTATATTGGTTGTTGGGGCAAAGGAAAGAGAACAGACAAGCAAGGTTGAATACAGAAATTTATGACTATTTTAGAAGAGCTACACAGTATTCAGCTGGAGACTGCTTTTCTTCCAAACAAAAGAATTCATTGATGCATATCTTTTAATGACTTATTTTCTAGTACAGTCAAATTATGTCTTTGTTGAGTAGATGAAACAGAGATTAGAGTTTAAGAAATATTTTTTAAAATGATCCAAAAGCTTTTGGAATGTAAAACCTCAGTAACATAAATCCACATGAACTTGGATCCCAGCCCTAACCTCATTGTTCTGCCTTCCAATTTTAAAGGGATCCCACGTCTGCCAATCCATCCCTGGTGTGGAGCTTTTAAATGAAGAGCTTCTTTGAGAGTTATGTGATCACTGGGCAAACCACGTTAGCTCTCTCTGCCTCCTTCTCCTTAGAGATAAAATGGGGTTTATCAGTGTATCTGTTTCTTAAGGTTGGTGAACGTATTTTAGTTGGGTGGTGCATGGTAAACGGATGACTAACATTAGCTATCCTAGTCTTGAATATTTTCCTGAATCCTTTCCAGATTTTGCAGGATTTTCTTTGACTCAACTTTCCCGGGCCAGTTTCCCACAAGTGCCCTCTGGTGTCACTCTTGCTTGGGTTTTCCTCTCCTGGTCCCACACAGTTGCATCCCACTGACAAAGGTCGCCCAGGAGAGAAACTCAAGAGAGTTTATCTGGGATTTCCTCTTACAGGGTTTGGTTACTTTGTTTTCCATTTTTCTTTCTCCATACCATTTTTTACACTAAAAATAAGACCAATAGGAAATTCAAGGTGACAAGCTTTCTTGGATAGGGTTTAAACTTCAAAATGTTTAATATATCTATTAAACTTAACTAGTTAAGCAGAGTTTGCTCGTGGAAGGAAAAATATATCAGCAACTGATGACATTTTACACACACACACAGAAACACACAGAGAATAATTATAGTTAAGATTCACGGAGTTTACCATGCCTGTGACCACTTCAGTTCTTTATAATGATTTCATTGCCACCTACAGCAGCCCTATGAGGAGGCTCCTATTTGCTTCTCACACATGATGAAACTGAGGAATCCAGCAGATAAGGAACTTGCTTGAAGTTACACAATTCCTAAGCAGCAAAGCTGGGCTTTTGGTACTGGCAGACTGAGCCCTCACACTAGCAAGTGATTTTTCTAGGGTCAGATCCACTCCATTGGGTCACAGAATTGCCAGGTTTGGTTGTGTTTACCTGCTTGCTTGTGATTACTGCGTGATACAGGATCCTGAGCCTTTCTAACTCCTGCTCCTCAACTCCTAGGCCAACAGCAGGACATTTGCCACCACTTGAGAAAACAAAAGACAACAACAGGGAAAGCTGGAAGGGAGCTGGCTTGCTGCTTTAGACAGGAAGCTGGAATTTGACTCAGGAGGGGCTGGCTATAAGGAAGAGGTGCAAAGGTTTTTTAAATGTCTTCAACACATAGAGATTGAACTTTGATTATAGAAAACCATTGCTTTCCTAGATTTCTGCTTTGCTTGCATTTCTATTTTTAAAATGTTTTCCACAAGAAAAATTTACTCACCATTATATACTATGTGCCAGGTCCAATTGACACTGCTTTTTTTTTTTTCTCTACCATTCTGTTTTTAAATTTTTACAATAGACAAATTTGAGCCAGATGCACTTATAAATACCTTCTCTTCACTTATTTCTCCCATTTTCCCCCCTTTTCCTTTATCTGCCAAAGTGACCTAGTGAGGGTTCTTTGCTAGGTATTATGATACATGTATGCTAATTTGATTTTTATCAGCCAGAGATTTATTCCTAGAAGATATGTGTGGCAGAGAGCGAGTATGTAAGGCAATACTTGAATCACAGGTTATAAGTGCTAAAATGAAGAAAACTAAAAGCCGAGTGAATGCCACGGGCAGAGCTCACCCCTGATGATGTGGTTAGGAAGAATCCTTTTAAGAAAGGGGCATTTGAGGTAAGCTGCCGGGGGCAGAGAATGAAGTGGCCGCGTAGAGTGGGGAAGAACAAAGATCCAGGGTAACAGAACATACAGGACTCTGCACACAATGGCTTGCTGTGTTGGAAGAACTGAGAAAAGGCAAATATTTCCCGGGCTAAAGTCAAAGAGGGAAAGTACTCATTGAGAGGAGTTAAGAGATGTGTGCAGGGGTCATGTCAGCTGGCTGATGGAGTCCATTTGAGGGAACCGCTTTGAGGTGCTTGCAGCAGGACTGGATTTATGTTCCCAGAAAAGCTAAGGGGGCTGTGGTACTGCTTGCATTTGAGCGCACCTTTTAAACTTGTGATTGTAGAAATATTTTGTTTGCCTGGGGCTTGAGAGCAGTTGGACAAGTAGCTGAATGTCTCCAGGGCAGTAAGTAGCTTGACAAGATAAAACTGGCTTCAGTTTCCAGTTCTTCTACCTGTTTAATAATATGACCTTGGCCAAACTCCTCATCTCCTTCAGTCTCAGGTCCTCTATCTGCAAATTGTGAATAATGCCTGTCTTAAGTCAAATAAGTTGTGGAAAGTGCCTAGAACCTTCTGTCTAATTGTTCCTTTCTTGAATTCTCCTTCCTATTACGATATTTAGAATTCCGAAATTATTCATGCCCCAGTGTTAATGAGCCTGTTTGTATTCCTGTCACAGTTCAAACTGATTCCCTCCACTTATCTCATTGGAAGCTCATAATTAACCTTTGTGAAAGAGCTGGAAAAGACATTACTAGGTCCCATTTAAAGTTCA